GTGGTGCGGCTACTCCGGAACAGAACTCCTCAGATTTTCATAACAATCTTGTAGGTTGCACTTTGGGAGTTGTAAATTCTCACCTTATGTTTTTATGTACACAGTCTTGTGCCTCAACTGTGAGCTAAGGAGCTTAAAAAGTTCCTTGGAGCTGCAGCAGAGTTGGGGATAATTCCTTGTTGCTGTAGTCATTTGATTCACTGTTAAATTAAAAATAAGGATTAGTGGAGCTTTAAGGGCCACTTCAACCTTCAGCTCAAATAAAAACATAACAGGTTACAGGCAGGACGTCCAGTATCAGGCAGCGATACAGAAATGGCCTCGGCTGCTCACATGTGAGGAGCCGGGGAGGAGCGGATTGTTCTCTGTAATTGAGTTAACCTGGAACATGAGAGTGAGGTGTTATGTTGAAGATGGAGAGGCGAGGAGGAGGAGGAGGAGGGGGAGGAGGAGGAGGCAGTGTGAAAGGCTACATTAAGGGTTTTTGTATCCCAGGGAATGAATCAAAAAATCAATCTCTCCTCTTTGAGACAACAACAATGGAGGAAAGAGTCACTTATTTCATCATTACGAAGCCAAGGTATTTCTCCGATGGGCCAAGAGTCAACTCTACACCAATATTATTCACTGATAATGTAGGCCTGTAATTAAATTTTCAACCCTCTCCAAATATTAAAACACATTATGTTTTGTTACTATGGTAACGTGGATTCTAGGCGGTACAGTGACTGTTATATCACAGTATTTATGTTTTTATTTTTTAATGATGGCACAGCGGTCTCTTAATTAGCAAGCAGTGATAAACAGCTCACTTCACAGGGTACATTATGTTTTTATATTTCAGAGGAAGGAGAACAAAATAACACAAAAATATATAGTCTGTATGCCACATTCAGGGGAAATTGGATAAATGGGATTGTTATCACAATTAGCACACAGGATAGATGATGTAGTTCAAGTAAGTATTGTAGCCAAATATAAGACCACACTGATGCATTTATATTTATTTATTCTTGAGTGTAGTTATGAAAATGTTTGGTTTGTCATAAGACATTTTATATCTGATAACTCATGGTGCAGTTTAGGGAATGATCTATAGACTTATAATAGATGTCTACTGGACAGAGGCCACATAACATTAATACATAGACATGTACATGAACAAAGTGTCGAAGATAAAGTAGTTAATATGATATTTAAGCACTAGTGAAAAGCTCAAAATAACAGGTAGAGTGTAGAACTGAATACTGAATACCTGTGAGCTAGTGCAAATTTAGAAAAATATTCATGGGGTGGCGAAAGGGTGGCTGAAGGTTGAAGTGGACCTTATAGCTCCACTAATCCTAATTTTTAGTTCAACGATGAATCAAATGCATCAAATACAGCAACAAAGAATTATCACAAACTCTGCAGATCCAAGGAGCATTTTAGACTCCTTAGCTCACAAGACTGTACATAAAAACATAAAGTGAGAATTTACAACTACCAAAGTGCAAAAGACTTTGTAGTGGGCTCAGTTTTAAAGTTAGAACATACTGGCTAACACATCCATTGGTGCTAGCATGTCGGGAACGGGGCTTAACAATACTCCAAAATTAGGCTGAAGTTTGGCGATTGAAAAACTGACATGGCTTGACCTCTGACCTCAAGATATCTGAATGAAAATGGGTTGTATTTGACTATTTCTGCATACTGGGGTCCATGCCACTCCTGCATTAGTCATCGTCCCTCTTGTGCCACCCCAGTCAAAGAGTCTGGAAACGCCCCTGAGTAGCAGCAGCAGTTTGGTGATTTAAAATTGCCAAAAAACTGAAGTGACTGGACACATACAAGTTTAGGTTGGTAGGTTGGGGTTGGCAAATCCTGCTCTGAAGGGCCCTAAAGAGGCTTGGGGCGGGCCCTTCAGTAAAAGCAAAAGCAGCAGCATGAGTAGTAATTGTAACTGTAGTTTTTTACTTGTGGTAGATGTAACACTATAAAACATTAGTCTGGGGTCACACTGTTCAACCTCACATCACATTCATCACATTTTTTAACCACTTTGTCCTCAACTAACAGATAAGCAGTGCAAATTTGCAAATTGCAAATTGCACCGCATGATATCAGTAAAAATGATATCTAATTCATTATTTATAAAGGACAAGTCATATGTGCTATGTGCTTCTATGTGAGGAGGAGCAGGGAGACAGTTGACCTGGACGACCCCCCTGTGAGAGAGCAGGGGTGGTCAGTCAGCGCCATCCAGTGGTGGAAAGACAACACTGCACCCTCTGTCAACATTAAGAAGTAGGTGTTTTTCTTGTCCTTGTCTCACTTTCTGGCGAATTAATCTCAATTTAAAATGAGTTCAGATCAGTTTATTTTTGTGTGGATGGGTGGCAGCCTGGCATGTGTGCATGTAGAAAAGACAACATCAATCCAGTCGCTCTAGATTTCTATTTTTGTCTCTTTGTCCATTGTCTATCTCCCAATCATACTATGTCTTTCTCTCTATCTTTCTTTCTCTCTTTCTTTCTCTCTCTTTAACTTTTCTCTTCATGTAATCTCCCCCCTTTTTTTTCCCATTCTCTTTCACTTTTGATCTTTCTCTCCCTGCCTTCTTTCCTCACCCCTGCCTCTCTCACCTTTTTCTTTCTTTCTTACCATCTTTTATTCTACCTTTCTTTCTCTTTCTTTCATTATTCCTTCTCATTTTTCTTCTCTTTATCCCTCACTCTTGTCTCTCAGCCTCTTCCTCTTTGTTCCTCTTCACCCTCACTCCCTGCCTTATCTTTATCTCTGTTCTTTCCCTACATGACCTTCCCAGCCTCCTGTTCCTCCTCCTCGTCCTCCTCCGCCTCCTGCTCTTCCTCTTCCTCCTCCTCTCTCAGTATATATATATATCAGAAGCACTCAAGCACCTCCTCAGGCTGCAGAAAGACCAATTCATTAAAAACACTAATAACCCTTTCTCTACTGGGAGAGGGAGCATTTTCTTCCTCATACATTATTAATGTAGCACTGTATGATTATTTGCAGGTAGTGTGTGTGTGCGTGTGTGTGTGTCATTCCTAGCCTAACAAGTTGCTGCTTTGAACAGATGTGTGTGTGATAGTGATTTTCACTCAGCGGTGCTCATTAAGAGCTGACCAGCTGAGAGTGAGTAAGTGAGTGAGACGGTCACTGAGTGAGATGAGTGTGTAGGGTAGTTGTATGTCATTTGCATGGTAAGTGCTGGCCAAAGTGTGTATGTGTGTGTGTGTGTGTGCGTGTGTGTGGTAGCTCATTTGTAGCTCTTGTTAAGTGGCAGCTGAGTGGACCCCGGGGCCACTCAAATGCATTGAGGAAGAAATTAAGTTAACAGGTTAATGAAAAGGTTTTCTGTTCCTCACCAGTTCCCTACAGTTTTCTCTTTTGTTTTTATGCACTGTTTGAATATAAAACAGCAAATGCGTCATATAAAATGCGTTGTGTTCCCCAAACTCTGACAATCATTAAAACCATCATTAAAATTACATAGACCTGCTGTGCATGTAACTAGAAAATTCAGTAACAAACCCTCAGTCAAGGCAACAACAAAACAAACAAACAAAATGTTCAAACCGGCATTAAGGGGTGAGATATACAGGAGGGAAGCAGTACAGGCAGGTATGTGGTAACAAAGCAGTGAATGGATGAATGGCAGAAAGTAGAAATGAAACAAGGAAGGAAGACATCAAACAGTGTAGCACAATACGTACTGAGTATAGCATAATATCCTTCCTTATGATAGTTGAAAGTGTGCAACCAGTGCACAGCAGACGTTATAATGCAGCGGAGAAATGTAGGTGGAATTAGTACTTTTTGTTAATTAAATAATAAAAATGAATGAAATGACATGTAGCTGTAACCTATTGTTCATGCTGGCTTACTTTCATGGCTTAGTGCGACACTTGAATAAAATAGAGCCATCATTAATGCTATTAATTACACCTGTGAATTTTCTTACTATGACAAGTCAAAATGTCTGCTGTGAAAAATTACCTAATTACCAAAAAATACTCTATGCTCTTGGGAGTTTTAGACTGATCTCTTGTTATTTCCATTTCAAAACAAAGAGGACATAAAAACGTATCCAGTTACTAAAGGGTGGCTGTATATAACTACTTGTATGTCACTATAATTAACCTGAAAAACAGGGGACAAAAACAAGAGGCGGAGCAACAGTTTTACTGTCAGACTCCAAACAGAAACTAAAAGTCTGTCAGAGTAAGAAGAGTGCTGTAGTTGAGACACATCTTATTAGTTCTTGGTAAACAGCAAAACTTCCAGTTCACCGGGTCTTTCTTAACTACAAAACAGATCCCCTGCCGAACACAGGTGAGTCCAGTGAATAATACATTGTGTTTAAACAACCAGCATTAACACATACTTGAGCTCTGCTCAGACAGGGTGTGCCGCTTTTGTCATGTAAAAAATTAACTTTCACAGCGTGCCTCCGTAACATTCTAGTAATTATAGAAACAGAGACATTTTTAAACATGTAATTTTGCTTTTTCCACTCGGAAGTACACCCGGTGTTTTGTAACTACACAGCAGAGCCAAACACTGGTGAGTACAGCAGATAACATCTACTGTGTTTAAACAACCAGCATTAACCCTTGAGCTGTGCTCAGTCATGCTTTTGTCATTCAAAAATGAAAATGGTCAAATTATGTTTTCACTATGTGGAATGTAGCTATAATACAATACAATATAATAAAATGTTCAATGTTGTAATTAACATTCTAGAAAAAATTGTTTGGTATTTTTAATCCAATTTTTTAAAGTATTCTGTAATTACAGTTTTGCTTTTTCCTTTCATTGTATTCTTATTGTGTAGATATGGCTGCTGCCAGCAGTTTGCTATCTGAAGATCAGTTTTTGTGCTCCATCTGTCT